TTCTGTTCTATATTTTCAGTCATGCTTTTAGTAGTCATCTTCTATAGATTTCATCATCCATTTAATCTACCCAGCTGCTGATAAAGATTTACATAGCATTCAGCTGTTTATCCAGAGCATTCAATTTGGGTCAGGCAGTAATCCTTACAAGAAAAAAAGAGCATCTTTCTTTCTCAACCAACTTACCTCACAGGGCAGTTGGAGGAGAAAAACATTCAAAGCAATTTATGTATTAAAGCAAGGGTCTTCAAACATGGCCCTTTTATGACTTGTAGACTTCAACTCCCAGAATTCCTCAACCAGGCATGCCTGGCTGAGGAATTCTGGGAGTTGAAGTCCACAAGTCATAAATGGGCCACATTTGAAAACCCCTGGATTAAAGTAATGCAGACTTTGGAACAGAAGACCAGGTTGCCTATTTTCCATGTTAGAGCTTTAAACACATCAGGCATTATTATACATTTAAAATTAGTTAATGGCACAATAATTCATATTCATAATTTAGATGGCAAATACAACTCATAGTCATCCATTGTCTAGCCTGGTACATTAACTACTACCCCAACAGGCCCCAAACTATACTAGAGAGGTTTGTATACTAGATAAATATATAACATTCCTATTTGTTTTTACATTGATTCTTTGTAAGTAATAATTTGTTTAATTTAATTATTACATTAATTATTTCTACATTAGTTGCAGTACTTCTCTTGCTTAAATTGTACGTACACTGAGAGACATATGCAGACTAATTTTTAACTAGCTCTTACTATTAGAGAAATACATCCTTCAGATTATATCTAGAAGGTCTGGTTTAGCCAGTCTGATTTCATCATTACTGATGGGCTCCAGTTCATGCTTGGAATTTCACACACTGCCTGATTATTTAGCTGCCATTGAGTCATGTTTCATTGTAGAAGAATCATGTTTGATTGCAGAAAAAAAAACAATAAAAATCTCTGGGAACTACTCCTGAAATACAAATATGCTAATTGAATTCCAAAATTCATAAGTAGACAATGGGTCTGAATTAAATTCTACTAATATTTTACTTTACTCCAAACAAAGTATGATGATTGCATCCAGACCCTACAAAGATATTTCTTGCTTCTGCCAAAACGACTTTGAAGTATCATATCTGATATATGAATTTGTATAAAAAGATATTTGGAGATCCTTCCCAGTTAATATTTTGAAACCTTTCCATATAAAGGTTGTTTAACTCACTTATATTATTTTATGTTACAAAAGTGCGTAAGTGAAACAATTAAACAAGCTCTCAGTAAATGCCATCTAAATGTACAGCAAATATAATACCTTGCAAATGTTGGTGTATGTGCATTGGAGGCAGATTATGTTTAAGATTATAAAATGAGCAGAAAGTATCATGTTAATTATTTTATGTTGTGTTTCTCATGGAGAGAAATTGCTTTACTAGGAATTTACTAGGAATTACTGGATGTTTCACTTTTTATAATTCATTTAACTATTTTGAGTGTTCCTTGTTTTCCACTCTCTCCCCCAGGACATTTTGATCCTTATCATTTTTCTTTCTTTGTTAGCTCAGGTTTTCCTCTCACATTGGATAAATAACCACCCTAAAAATGTTTCATAGAAGAATATATATTAACTTATGGATATAGGTTTCCATACAAGTTTTCTAAATTTAATATTATTTACTTTCTTAGATAATGTTTGGCATCATAAATCTTCATGGATCTTTGTGTTTTATGCTTATCTAAGCAGTATTTCAAATCTGGCTGATACAGAGTTCTTTTCATCACTTGGATTGTCATAATGAACCACAAGAACTACTTCTTCAGGTTTCACTTTAGAATTGGAGGCCAATGTTGATCCTGATAAAGTTATAATATTTTAATAATCTGATTTTGGTATGGTGACTACACTGTGGATTACTTTTACTCTCTGGTAGATGATGATGATTTCAATAATAATGGTTAGTCTTGATGGCACAGGAAATCAAATCAGGGGTATAATGCTTGAAAATGTGCTAGAGCAGTATAAATTCTATGGAATTCAGGTTAAAATATGTATAATCCAAAAGTGACAGTGTAATTTATGTATATAACCTTATTATATTTTATTTATATTTTTACAAAATGAGAATGCAGATCTTAAAATAAAGGGTAGATTTTTACATGAGATACCCCAGGATTCCATCCTAGACTTAGTACTAATATTCTTCAATATCTTCATACAAATGATTTAGATAAGGCAGTACAAGGATGTTCATACATCTATAGATGATACAAATAAGGGGGAATTATTAACAACCCAGAATGCAGGCTCAAGATTCAAAAGGACCCTGACAGACTGAGCATTGGACCCTAACCAGTGATGGAAGCTCCACAATGAGACTTCCAAGCTTGAAATTAGGAGGAATTTCCTATTTGGTAGAGCTATTAAGTGATCAAATAGCATATCTCATTGGAGTGTTGCTTATTGTTTGAATGTTTTACAAATTGATTAAACTTTATTTACTAAAACAAAATTGGTACTTTTGATTTTTTTCTTTTGCAAAATATATTCATTAATCATAGGATAGTCCTATATCATTAAATCACTAATTAGACATAATTGCTCTAATTCTCATTCTTTGAATTGTAACAAAGGTATCATTCTACAATTTAAAAAAGTTACTAGAGTTATTACTCTGCAATAAATGTTTCTTTCATTTCATTAAGAAAGATTTCTTGCAGTTTTAAAAATGGTATGATAGCATGGGAAGAAAGAAAAGAAATATAAATATCTCTGAGGACATCTACCCAGAAATGGGAAAAACTCACAGCATACTATGTTAGTCAGAATTTTCCAAACAATTACAGTAATTAGATATTAAAATTGTGCACAATTTGTAAACAAAGTGCCTCAGTACTTGCGGCGTTGTGACTTTAGCATCTCTCTGCTACTTATTAAATTAGCAACATCTTTCTTCAGACTTTCACACAAGCCTGAAAAAAGCTGTGGCTGCTTTAAGAAATTGCATCAGGTGATTCCTTGAAGTCATTTTATTCCAGCCTTATGTGGAAAATCTAAAAATAAACAACAGCTGCTTTAATAAGTAGCAGAGAAATATGGAACTCATAATGCTACAAATTTCCAGACATTATAGCATATTATAGGCCAGTGGTTCTCAACCTGTGGGTCGGGACCCCATTTGGGGTCGAACGACCATTTCACGGGGGTTGCCAAACAACGCAGTCCGCCATTTTTTTCCCCTTTCCCTTAGCTGTGCTACTCCCTTTTATTCTATTGGCTTTTGAAAGCCAATAGAATAGACTCTCTTGAATAGAGTCTAATTCTATTGGCTTTCAAAAGCCAATAGGAATTGTCCAGGCTGTCTCTGCCCTGCTGAGCCCGCCAAAAGTCCCATTCTGCAAACGGTGCTGCACCAGTTGAGTAGTCCTCGACTTACGACTGGTTGAGTAGTCTTCGACTTACGACCGGTTGGGGGTCGCGGCATTAAAAAGGTTGAGAACCACTGTTATAGGCCAATAAGCCCAGTCACGGTACTTACAGGAACATAGGTGTAGGTATCTGGTAGAAACCAGAGTGATGCCATCCACCTCACTTGCAATGGATTCAGATTATGTCATTGATGACCATTGCATCATGTTATCATGAAATAACATGTGTCATGTTATTCTTTTGTGGTGATAACATCAGGAAACACATGATACCTGTTCCAATCTTAACTCACTGGTGCCTGGAGTCAGTCCTACTATATGCTAAGAAGTTTTTAGCAGAGAGCCAGAGACTCCAGGACAGCCAATTGTAAGCTTTAAAGGTATCTTTTGGAGATTTTCAAATATGACTGAATTGAAAATAATATATGATTAGTGGGTAATCATTAATTTTATTTAGTTGTACTGAAGTTTAGCTTTAAATAAAATTTAGTTTTTGTCCAGCTCTGTGCAAATTTTAGAGGCCAGAGGCTCAAAGGCCAGATGCGACGTGAGGAAAGCCAAGGAAAACTTGCAATTCATGGTTTATGGCAGTCCTGGGTCATAAACAGCCGTGTAGTTTCTGTGATAAAATGATATCCCATATACAGTATTGCTATCCCATCAGACTTAGTGAAAGGGAGAGAAATCTGGGAAATTCAGACTTTTGGAAGGACACTCAACAAGCACCTCTCAGCTTTGTCATAACCGGAGTACATACTGGAACTCTTTTGTACTTCACCCAATGAGAATTTTATTAGATGTGCTGTTCTTTCTCAATGGAAAAAAAGAGTGCAGAAGATTATTTCAGCACAGAACAAAATATTAGGAAATTTCTTTGCAATTTGCTCTTGCCCTTTCATGTCCAAGAATATATCTGCATGCTGTTTCCAAGCTAAGCTTAATTTCTGAAAAACTAGAACTACACTGTAATTAACCTGTAGGTGACTAAGAATACTACTAGTACTACAACTACTCCTATTAATCTTCAAAATACAAATAGTATATAATGCTTAAAATGGCAATTCTCAGTCAATTTATGTACAAATAAGCTACACTGGACATACTTCTACTTAAGTAGGCATTGGATTACTCCGAACTCAGAAATGGGAGACTCTTAGCTCAATCTTGTCTTAGCCCCAGCTTTAGACCAGGTGCTGTATTGTTGCTTCAGTCCCAAAAGTTAACTACACTATTGAGATCATAATAGCAGCCTAGCAGAAATGATTTTTGGAAAGCTTATTGCGGTAATGTATTCAAAGCAAATTATTTCTTAAGACTGAAAAAGAATGATGTTAGTGCTACATTAACAACTATTTTTAACTTGGCCTAACATGCAATTAAATACATAGATTAATGCTAGAATCTCATATCTGTTTACCTCAGAGCAAAGTCTAAACATCTGGCTAATTGTACAGTCAACTATAATAATATAAATGTATATGCCACCTGATTCCTGGTGAGTTTACAAATTAATCAAAATATTTAAAACAAGGAGACAACAAAAAAAGAATAACAATGGCAGAGAAAACATACCTGGATGGGAACAAGAAGGAAGAAAAGAGGCATCAATCATCCTCACCAAAGGCTTGGATAAAGAGTTAAGTCTTCAGGGCCTTTCAAAACACCAGAAGGTTGGGGCATTTGAATCTTGGAATGATCCTTGTTCCAGAGGGCAGGTGCTGCTACAGAGAAAGCATTAAGGAACCTGGAATGTGCCAACTTGGTTGAAACTCAGAAGCCAAAGTCAAGGAACTTATAAGGAGGCAAGAAAAGACTTTTACACATTTCTGCCTAAATATATACAGTAGATGGCGTGCCAGGTAGACTTCTTGCATGCTGTTACCTCACATTACAGGATTTATTGTGTTTATACTTGATAGCGTGAAGACAGCTGTTCTTGGGTCTGTTTGAATGCAAGAAGCAGACTTCTGTGATTGCAGACCTAACTTTGCCTGAACTAACAAATGTGAGTCGTAAGTTATTCACTTTGAGACAAATAAAAGGAGAGATCCATTCAGACCTTGTCATTTAGTACTACTATGTCAGAAACTGAGTAGAAAAGGAGCTCCCACAAGGGTGGGGGACATCAGAAGTGGATCAATAACATGATTGCCCTATTTTACAACTTTTCTTGCCACATTTGTTAAGTGAATCACTGCAGTTGTTAAATTAGTAACATGGTTGTTAAGTGAGTCTGACTTCCCTATTGACTTTACTTGTCATAAGGTCGAAAAGGGGGAATCATGTGACCCCAGGGCACTGCAACTGTCATAAATATGAGCCAATTGCCAATCATCTGGATTTCGATCACATGACCATGACGATGCCACAATGGGCTAAGTGTAAAAAACAGTCACAAGTCACATTTTTCAGTGTCACTAAATGAAATGCTGTAAATCGAGACCTACCTGTATAGTGAATAGACCAAGAATATTTATCTCCATTTAAAAATAATGGAAAGATTTGTCCATCAAGTGTTTTTAGTTTATTCATCTGTAGTTTATTCATCTGGAAAAAAATTTCTTATTTAGCAACATAAATTCTGGGCCCAATTGTGGTCACAAGTCAAGAAATGCCTGTAGTTAGACTGCTATTATTCTTTCTTAACTTTCTGTCCACCTCAGGACATTTCTAAATTTAATTTATTAGACTGAAAGTACAAGAGCTAAATTCAGAGAGAGTCATCACCTTAAACACCTTCAGGCACCTGTCTCTCTTCCCAAAATGCTCTTTCTTTGTCAGAGAAGGGGCTGAAAAGAGCCATTTGCCAGTTTCTTGCAGATTTCATTAGTCTGAAGTCCTAGAAGTTGAGGAGAAAAAAAAGCTTGTTATGCAAATATCAGTGTTCTCCTTACGATTTGCTTGGTTTTATTTTCCAGGAAATTTTGTAAATATGAGGAAGTTCTCCATAGCTATGATGAATCAAATTACAACATACAAAAGTATCTGTGCATAAAACCTGGAATGGAAAAGTAAACTAGGAAAAAGTAAAATGAAAATGTTGCAGAAAGGAAATTCAATTCCCATTGTCAGCTGCTTAAGTTGGCTGCTTATGATTAGCATCTCATTGAAACCTGGATGAATAGCCTGAAATACAGTAACAGTATATGCAATTCCCCAAGCCTTGTGTGCAGTCCTTGGATGACCTGCAAAACTATTCACAAAAAATGTAATTTAGTGAATTCTTCTGAATAGAAAAGAATGATGTGAACTTTATTTTATTAATTTAGTTTACAGCAAGGTTTACAGTACATTAAATGAAATGTTCATCTTAGCTCTACCCACATACCACTCATTGATAGATGCCGCTTTTAACCTATAAAAAGTTAATTCCTTTTTAAAGATACTGAACAGTTTTGCAAAACACTTATATACTCAGTTCAATATCTAAACTTTCTGGTGGATTGAAAAATCAGAGTTTCCTACCTTTTGAAATTTTTCAAAAAGCGAGTTTATAGTTTCACCTTGATATAACTTTTACTGGCCTTATCAAACATAAGTTCCTTTCATTTGAATCTATAAAATATTGAGAGGGTTTAGTTCTCTAAAGTTCCATGGAACTTCCTTTGAATAACTTTCTAGAAACAAGCAGGACCTACAAGGGAAACTTTCAAAGCTACAGACAGTTTAAATCAGGGGTCTTCAAACTTGGCCCTTTTATGACTTGTGGACTTCAACTCCCAGAATTCCTCAGCCAGCGTGCCTGGCTGAGGATTTCTGGTAGTTGAAGTCCACAAGTAATAAAAGGGCCAAGTTTGAAGGCCCCTGGTTTAAATGGTGGCACGCACAAGAGGGTTTCTCCAGTGGAGTCCTGTTGCTGTGCCTTTTATCTGTTAAGTTCCATGCCTATACCAGCCAAAAAGAAACAAAATTATTGGGGGGAAGAGGAACTACAATCTGTCTGTAGATTAAGGAAAAATTTAATGGAAACAAGCTTCAGTGGAATGTAAGAAAATTATATTCTAACTGTTGTGCTGAACTGCTTCTATAACCTTGCTTACACAGAAAACAAATCATTGACTTCTCAAGGCAAGCTTCGAGGCATAATTGTATACTGCTTACTATGCAGAACAAGGGTCTGTAGCAGCTGAGTTAGCAGCGGGAATTATTTTAGTGCCTCATTCAATTTGGCTGTGTTTTATGGAACAAAAAGAGGTCTAAAACCACAGCTGGGAGGAGCAAATAGGGGCTGATCTTTGATCCTAGAAATTGCATGTGCTTCAAGTTATCTACCAGCATATAGTTGCTGAACGACAACCTGTGTTCCTCTCAAGGCTTTATCTAAGGAAGAAACAGTGTTAATTCTGAAGGACTGCTGGAGTAACCAGAGACAGGACAAGGTGAGTAAGGAACAAGTGCCTTTCTCTCCTGCCCATTACAATGGGAAATAGTAGAGAAAGTATTATGAAAGTGGTGAAAAGAATAGACAACACAGATGTTTGTGAATGAATGAAGAGAGCTGAATGTAATTACTGTGTGGCAGAACAGAGAAAGCATTCTTACCGTCTTCCCATTATAAAAAATGTTTGGCCATGGTAAGTTCCTGTTTGCTTTCTTTTCCTAGGAGATGGTTGAATGACTAGAGATAGAGGACTGTGCATGGATTTCCAAACTTACTGTAGCTGTTCATGAAAATAAATGTAAGATGTTGTACCATTATCTTCCCCAACCCTTAGACAGAGGTCACTAAACATCTGTTTGTTGGCCAAAATCAGAAGAGGTGCACAGAATGGATAAACTGATGTAGGATCCTCAATTGAAGATGAAATGAAGTGAGCCATGCTTTTGAAAGCTTATGCATTTTTATAAGATTCTTCTGATTTTTGACTACCATTGGTTAATACCTCCTACAATTTATTATTTATTTAGCATATTTTGAGAACATGACAGAAGTAAACATGTAAGTATAAGTAAAACTTCTATGGGGGTATTTCTATGAGGATATTTCTACAATACTTGGAGGCAAGGAAAAAAAGACAGCCTTAATGAGATTGTCTTGAGAAACAGCATTTTTATTGTCTCTTGCTAAAGAACACATAATGTTTATTGAGTTAAAACAGAGTCGTTTGGGTAAAAGATCAAAAGATTGTAGGAGTTTTAGAATGCTGACATTCAATGTGTGGATTGTCTATGTGTGTAGTTATTGCCAATACCTCTCATGTGGATAAATAAAATATTATAGATGTGTTGCACAATTTTAAAGACATACTTGGAAATTAAAAATTACTCCATAAACTCATGGTCTAATAATATATATCATTTACTCAGGAAGTTGATAAAGGGAACTGCCCGATGATCCCACTGTTTTCTTGGCAGATTCTTTCATATTTTGTGTTCAGATGTTGACATTTCAAAGCAAGAGCTAAGCTTCAGCAAACTATTGTTTACCATCTAAAACTGCAAAGCCCAAGCTGTGCCCCATTCCCTCTGCAGCCCATGATTGCATTTTGCATTTTTTCAAATAAAGTTAATGCTTAGCTACATAATGCAATAATTAAAATGTTTCTAGTTCCTTTTCCTTTAAAAAAAGTCAACCTGATGGGATTTTTGCACTGGGGTGCTACTCTATCTTGTAAATTCACAGGATTCTTTTTTCTCGCCATGTATATGTATACATCCGAACTAGATTGTGTTATTTCTCTGTGTTGTATATGTGTGTGTATGTGGATATATGCATACTTTTTGTCGTGTGGATATACTTGGATATACTTGATATAGAAAGTAAGATTGACCCAACCATGCTCAACTATGGCTTCTCTTAATCCAAATGAAGTTTGGGAGAGTAAAATTTTGTACAATAACTTCAGTGTTTTAATGTGTTAATGATCCAGTCAGTATAAATTCACAAAATAAATTGTGCTATGACATAATTCATTAAGTTTTAGGTCCCCACAATATCTTAACTGATTCAAAATTTGCAGCAATTTGTATAGATGGAACCAATATTTTCATGGTTTTACTGGACTGTGGGGAAGAATTTTGATATTTGATTTTGAACCATGTTAAACTTACTGTAGTACTTGAATTGCAGTTTCAAGTATTTCTTGCCACATAATGAAGAAAATCATATTGCTGATTTTCAGGCATTGTGGTCAGAGAAGACTGTAGCCACAACAAGGGACTTGGGCATGGATATCTGCAGGAGAGAAGGGGGCAAGGGGAACCGGTAATATTTTGTCTTTGCACAAATTATGCAATTATTACCACTATTTGCCCAATATTCTTTTGATGTAGATGATGTTATTGTGGCATCTATCAGATTCTAATGATCTCTTTAGAACTGTGGTCAAATGTTGCTCACCCTTGATGTAGCATTAGATGCGAACCAGATTATATTGACATTCACAGAAACAGATAAACGAAACTGTGGATTATAGTGATATATGAACCAAGCAAAGTTTATTTAGCTGGATCATCTTTGATTTAAAGAGCGAGAAAATCTGAGCTGCATGTAACTAGAAAAACATTCCCTCTCTAGTGAAAAACAGAAGAGCGTTGTTATCAAATAGAAGGTGATCTTAATCGAGCTCAACAGGAAATAGAATTGCTCAATAATAGTCTTATTCTTTATATGCCAGATTTCATTCTTTATATGCCAGATTTCAGTTTCAGTTTCTGGGACAGTTTAAGAAAGAGATATGTCTGAAGTTCAAATAGGTCTATCAGTCAATATAGAGCAAATGGAATTATGGGTTGATTTGGGAAATGAGATTTTCCTTTATTATTGGCAGTACTGAATTTCAAATTTGTAACAGCAACAACGAGTTAATGAAACTATGTCTACAGATGTAATAAAACTACATCTACAGGGAAGTAAGCAGTGGGGTACCCCAAGCTTCTGCTTTATATTCAGTACTTTTCAACTTCTTCATAAACAATTTAGATGAGGGAATAGAAGGAGAACTCATCAAATTTGATGATATTAAACTGGCAGGAATAGCCAATACCTCAGAAGACAGACTCAAGATCTAGATCAGTGATGGGGAATTTTTTAGAGACCGAGTGCCCAAACTGCAATCCAAAACCCACGTATTTATCGCAAAGTGCCAACACGGCAATTTAACCTAAATGCTGAGGTTTTAGTTTAGAAAAAAACAACTCATACATTAACATCTTTTGTCTTAAAAGAAAAACACAATAACAAAGCTTTCAATGATACAAACAACTTTTTATTGAAAGGTAAAAGTTTACATTTGGCATGCTTTTGAACAATTAATGTGATTTTTGCTGTTGTATGCATGCTGATAATTTGTCTAACCTTGGCTCACACTTTGTAAGTTTGAGAGCAACACATGTAGCACTCCAGTCATCTGTTAGTCTGTTTCTGTCTTGAGATTTGATATAATTCAAAGCTGAAAACAGCTGCTCACAAGCATAAAATGATCCAAACAAAGTGAGAAAAGCAATCCCAAGTGCTTTCATTGACTTAAAATTATTTGGCAGAGAATTTCACATTTTAAGGATTTCATTTTCAGAACTGTGCTGTCCTGTCATCCTTGTTTTCATAGGATTGCTCTCAATAAGAGCGAGGTGCGCTTTGGCTCCGTTTTCGTCAGGAAGGGTCGTGGGAAATGGCTTTTTCCTGGCAAAAATAAGCCTCCAAGCCCTGATGCTGGCAGAGTGAGGCAGCGGAGGCCAGAATAGACTCTTCCCTTCTCCCCTTGCTTCCCCAAAGCCTCCCTTCATTAACCTCCTTTCCAGCTCTGTTCTCCTCCACTGTGTGCAGGGCAACAAAAGAAGCTTGTGGGACTACTGGTTTTAAAAAAAGTTCAACCAGACCTTCCAACTTTGCAAGATCTTTTTTTTTTCCCCGCAAGAAGTTGGAAGGTCTTTTTTTTTTTAGTCCCACAAACTTCTTTTGTTGCCCTGCACACGGAGAACGGAGCTGGAAAGGTTAGTGAAAGAATGTGGTTGTCCTGGGGTGGGGGTTAAGATTTGGCATTGTGGATGGCCTGGGGTATGGTGGGGGGTTAGGGTTTGGCATTGCGCAGTGTTTGTGCTCTGGTGGGGCTAATTAAAATGCAGGGATTCCCTGCATTTTGAAGCACCCTGTGTGACTGCACGGGAAGGAGCGCTCCATTTCTCAAGCACCCTATTCCAGGCATACAGAGCTTGCAGTCTCTGCCAGCTCTCTGTTGGGATAAAGTCTTTTACTCCTATAGAGCGCTTCCAAACAGCCAGTCCCTGCGTTTGGAAGCACTCCATAGGTGTGGAAACATTTTTTTATCCCAACGGAGATCTGGCAGAGACTGAAATCTCCGTATGCCTGGCACTTGAGCAACGGAGCCTTCTGCCAGATCTCTGTAGGGATAAAATTTTCGGCACCTATGGAGTGCGTTCAAATGCAGGACCTGGCTGCGCTTGGAAGTGCTATATAGGAGCTAAAAGATTATCCCATTGGAGATCTGGCAGAGACTGCAAGCTCTTTGGCTAAGTTTTCGCAGGAAAAAGCTATTTCTCAAGCCCCTTCTTAGCCAAAACAAGCCACCAGAGCGAGCAGACTCTTCTTAAGAGCAATCCTGTAAAAACAAGCCTCTGGAGGCTTGTTTTGGCTAGGAAGTGGCTTGAGAAATAGCTTTTTCCTGTGAAAACTTAGCCAAAGAGCGAGGTGCACATGCCCACAGACAGGGCTCTAGGTGCCCCCTCTGGCACGCGTGCCATAAGTTCACCACCACTGATCTAGATGGATCTCAACAGATTTGAATGCTGGGCCCTATCTAACAACGAAATTCAGTGTAGAGAAAAGTAAGGTTTTGCACTTAGACAAGAAAAACCAAATGTACAAGTACTCAATAGCAGTTAACTGTGAGAAGGATCTTGGAGTCCTAGTGGACAATCACTTAAATATGAGCCAACAGTGTGTAGCAGCAGCAGCAGCAGCAGCAGCTAAAAAAGGCCAATGCAATCCTAGGTTGCATTAATAGGGACAAAATAAAAAGAAATATTAAAGCAATACAGTCCCTCATAAACTCCTGACATTATTGCCCTCTTGCTTGGTAAACAGTCTGGAGATAATGGGAGCTGTAGTCTAGTGTGCCCTTTCTGGGCAACAGATTGGGGTCAAGAGGGCTTCTGACACCGTTTCTGTCTTTGCTCTTTCCCCCTCCTGTTGCAGGAAGAGCGCCTGGCATTCAGGACTGAAGAGAAGATCTTTCGGTTCTCTGACTGAGGGCATTTTCTCCTACCTACACCCTTCCGGGATAGGATTTGGGGAACGTCCGGGGAAGGGCGCTTGTCCCTGCCCATGAGGGAGGGAAGAAACGGCCTCCACCTGCAGCAGTGCCGAAGTTTGAGTGCCCGAGGAAGGCTCACTCCCGCTTGGCGTCAGCGCGTCTTCGGCTGGTTGATTTAACTCCTTCCCTTCTCGCTCGCCTCTTCGCGCTTGCCGGCGATGTCTCCCCTCGTGGCTCGGACGCTCCTGGCCGCCGCTCTGGCACTTGGCGTCTTCTTTTCTACCGGCGCCCAAGAAGATCGTCCAGCAGCGTCGGCGTCGATCGGAGGGCCCTTCGCTCAGGATCTCTTCGCTGTCTTCGGAGGGAACCGGAGTCTCTCGAGCGAGCAGATCGGCCAGATGCTGCAGAAGATGGGCGCCCGGCAGAAAATGAGCGAGTTCTTGCCCCCAGGATCGCTGGCGCATCTGCGCTACAACCAGGTATGGAGACACCCTGCCCTTTGCCCCGCATCCCTAGCGCTGAAAACTCCACCCAGGAGTTTCTACTTCCACGTTTGTGGAGAGGGAAGGAGGACTCAAAGTCTCGAGTTTCTTTTTAAGAATTTTAGTCAGTGCTGAAAAGGTCAAAGGCTACAGATAAAGGGGAAGGTAGACTTTTCATAGCTCTCTCCATTTACAGTATTTTATTCTCTTTTCCCTCCCCTCCTCCCCTCTATGGTTAGGTGGGAGAACTGGCAAAGTGTAAGAGCTGGGATCCACTGACCACACCATTTTATTCCAGCTCCACCTTCAGTGTCATGTCAGAGGCAGAATGTTCTATCATAGAACCAGAAGGACTTTTGATGGTGGTAATCTTAATAAGCAACCATAGCAAGTAATGTGTTGTTGGGGAACGCTGGTCTAATACATGATGCTAATACATGGTCAGAAATGGTGTAGGGTCTCTTGCTTGGGCTAAGGGGGGGGGTGGACTAGATGACAGTGATGGCAAACCTTTTAGAGACCAAGTGCCCAAACTGCAACCCAAAACCCACTTATGCATTGTTGTGTGCCAGGTGGGTGTGGCCCATTGGGTGGGTGTGGCTGGGATGGTAACAGCAGACTGGGTGGGACTAAAAAGTTCAATCAATCAATTCCAACTTTGCAAGATCTTTTTTTTTCCCCACGAGAAGTTGAAATTGACTGATTGATTGAACCTTTTTTTTTTTGCACACGGTGTCGGAGGCCTAAAACGAAAAGGTTTTATAAAACCCAGCTGAAGGCCTAGGACTGGGGTGATGGCATGCATGCCCACAGAGAGGGCTCTGAGTGCCGCCTCTGGCACCTGTGCCATAGGTTTGCCACCACTGACCTACAAGGTCTCTTCTGTTCTGTTCTGTTCTGTTCATATTATTAATAACAATAACAACCCATATAGCTAAGTCTCCTTATACTTTCTGGGTATTTTTTGCCCAGGTTGTCTTCCCCCACAGAACCCCAATCATAATAGATACACCATCCAAAGATACACTGAGTATATGTATTCAATATATGTATTGCAAGATGTCTCAGGCTCATGAAGAGGTTATCTCATACAATATTTAGTACAGGTAGTCCTCAACTTACGACCACAACTGAGCCCAAAATTTCTGTTGTTAAGTGATATATTTGTTAAGTGAGTTTTGCCCATTTAACAACCTTCCTTACCACAGTTGTTAAGTGAATCACTACAATTGATAAAGTTAGTAACCCGATTGTTAAGTGAATCTGGCTTTCCCCACTGACTTTTGCTTGTGAGAAGCTTGCAAAAGGTGATCTCATGATCTTGGGACACAGCAATGATCATAAATATGAACTAGTTGCCAAGTGTCTGAATTTTGATCACATGATAATGGGGGATGCTGCAAAGTTCGTAACAGAAAAACAGTCATGTCACTTTTTTCAGTGCCGTTGTAACTTTGAACAGTCACTAAATGAACTGTTGTAAGTTGAGGACTATCTATATACGCAAGTCAAATAAATTGCATGTTCAATTACAGGTAATATGTTTACTTTCAGGCCAAGTTCCTTTATTTTTGGTCCATTTTAAATTGGCTGACTATTGATATTTTCTGGGTTAAAGAAGCCAACTGGTTTTGGGCAGGAATTATGCTGAATATATATTTATGCCCTCTGTTGGACTACAACTTTGAGGATTTTCTCAGCCACTGATGGCAGTCACGGAAACGGAGGTCTAACATCTCTGGAGGGTGTTAGATTTAGGAAGACAGATTTATATCTTTGGTACTAAATATTGTATAGACCATAATTGAATATGCTTCAGTCCTGACAGCTTTTAATGCTACCTATTAGAATATACTATGCAGCTAATCCTTCTTTTCCTGGATTTTGTGCAAATATTGAGTAAATATGGGAGAAAAAAAGTATACTTGTAGATGTTATCCTCTTGATTATCTCTCTATAGCTTTTTTAAATAAAATAAGTTATTTTCAAAATAAAAGTAAAGCAAACTGCCACATGTATCCTTGGAGAGACATCCAGTTATGGACAGTGGTGATATTCCTTTTCTTCAATAAATAAAATATGAAAAGAAATCACACACAAATTGTAGCTCATCATGCAGTTAGCATTGTTATAGTATGGAATACATATGAAGATAGAACTATGGTTTATACATACACAGAAGATCTAATATTTCAGATTCTCACTCAAATGTTTGGGGAAGTGAGTCTAAAACTGATAGTGTTACCTAGTTTGGGTAATGAGACATCTGCAAGAAAACAATCAAGTCCTCATTTCAACACTAAGCTACAAATATTCTCTTTTATTGGTTGGGGAAGTATGTTGTGGAAAAATTTCATACACTTAGAAGGTCTGAGTGTACCTACCAGAAGAAATAAATCCAATTATGTGCTCATCATATTTACACCAGTGTAGGCTTGTTTGAATGTTGTTATATAACTATAATTATATAATAATTACATGTAATAAATATATTATAAATCATAATTTCATCAGAATAGGCTTGAGTCTTACTGTTTTTTCCTTTAAATAATACTAAAGGACTGACTCTGCCATCTCTTTGCTATTCTCTGTTTTATGCTTCACACTGAATTGTGTGTTTATCTGAATATAAATCAATCTTCTCATCTTGGTACCCTCTAGACACAACACAGAGACATAAATCTCCCTTACTAAATTTTGCTCTCCTTCTTTAGTGTGTAATGTGGATGTTGGGAGTTGTAGCCCCCAAATTCTGGAAGAAATTAAATGTCTATATCTGGCCATTATTTATATATTAGGCCGTGCTGTAGTTCTCAGGCTAGTAGTACTGTTCTTGTGCATTGAGTTATCAGAAAATTTTGTACAGCATAACCCCCCAAAAGGGGTGTTGACATGTAAGAAAAGCAGAGTGGAGAAGAAGATCAGAGAACACCTGTTATGAAATGTTTCTGTGTAGAAATAATTAAGGCACACATTCATTTTGGAAGTAAACATCAGGCATGCAATAATCCACCCCAAAGTGCTATTAATGCAGGAGGACAATCCAAAAAATAAACAGCAGCAGCAATGACTTAATTCAAGCTGGTTTTCACCATATGGGTCAGAAAGCTATTTCAGCTTTTTAGTCTGTCTCTTTGTGATAAAACTCAATCTAAGCTTGACCTGGTAGTATAAAGGATAGGTGAGCTGTATTGGTAAAATGCATTGTATTGCAAAGAATAAAATGTTAGACTTTTTCATGTTTTCTATTGGCTGTTTTTTTTACTAGAATTAGACCATCGAAAAGTAATATGTACAACTTGTAACCTGGAGTTCTGTAATTATGTTATAAATGCTATTTATCCATGTTGTTCTCTTTAGTGTTTCCCTTCAGTATAAATAGCAGTGCAGCTCACAACAGTACAAAGAAAACAGAATACTTATCACAACAGAAATAATGCAAACAATTAAAGAGTAAAAGGGCAATGGCTTATTGTTTCATACACATAATATAAACTCTAGCAAGTACCATGTATTCATAAATTTGTGTTATCTGATCTGTCCCCACATTGAATAGTGACTTAAGGAAAATATTTATTGTGGTCAAGGACATGATAATAGCTGCTTTGTCAGTATGGTTTTTAAATTCTTTATAGCAAATTACAAACGTAGTTGGTGAATATGTAAACTGGAACATACGTCAAGAGAATTACTGTATAAGCCAGAGGATTCATGAAAATTATTTATACCTCTCTTTATATGAAGAACTAGATGACATTATTCTAGTTATTTTTATATTATTTATATACCACTGTTTAATAGAATATGGAACATGAACCAGTTTTATTTGTTTTAATTTTTTGTTTTTTGTAGAACATCATGATAACTTACAAACATGCAATTTATACACATATCATAAGTATATTTAATGACAATAAAACTATTATATAGTTAAATAACATTTTGTTGTTGTTAATTGCAAAGTTGTGTCTGACCCATTGCGACCCCATGGACAACATTCCTCTAGGTCTTCCTGTCCTCTACCATCTTCTAGAGTCCATTTAAGTTCACACCTACTGCTTCAGTGACTCCATCCAGCCATCTCATTCTCTGTCGTCCCCTTCTTCTATTGCCCTCAATCTTTCCCAGCATTAGGCCCTTCTCCAGTGAGTCCTTCCTTCTCATTAGGTGGCCAAAGTATTTGAGTTTCAACTTCAGGATCTGGCCTTCTAAAGAGCAGTCGGGGTTTATCTCTCCTAGGACTGACCGGTTTGAACGCCTTGTAGTCCAAGGGACTCGCAGGAGTCTTCTCCAGCACCATAGTTCAAAGGCCTCAGTTCTTTGGCGCTCAGCCTTTTTTATGGTCCAACTTTCACAGCCATACATTGCAACTGGGAAAACCATGGCCTGGACTATACGCACTTTTGTTGGCAGAGTGATGTCTCTGCTTTTTAGTATGTTGTCTAGATTTGCCATAGCTTTCCTCCCCAGGAGCAAGCGTCTTTTAATTTCTTGGCTGCAGTCCCATCTGAGGTGATCTTGGAGCCCAGAAAAATAAAATCTGTCACTACCTCCATTTCTTCCCCATCTATTTGCCAGGAATTGAGAGGGCCGGTCATAACGTAGGTCATGAGAATAGCGGCCAATGAAAGCCTACAAGCAGTTCTCAACTAATGACCATAATTGAGCCTGGAATTAAGGTTGTAAATTGTGCCAGTTAAGTGGATATTTCTAGCAGGAGTACTAGATTCTGCAATAGCTTTCATCCTTAGGCCACACATCTTGTAAATTCGCAGGATTTACATCTGAACTAGACTATGTTGTTTCTGTGTGTCATATATATGTGTGTATGTGGGTATATGCATAATCTTTTGACATGTTTATGTAGTGTACATTGGAGATGGTTACCCTTTGAGAGCTGAATGCAATGAAATTTCATTTTAATATATGCTGATTAGTATACATTTAAAGTGACAGTAAAGTTATCATTCTATTCCTCTATTCTATCATCACGTAGCCATGCCTGATCTTACAACCTTTTTTGTGGTGGTTGTAAAGTGAACCTGGTGCTTATAAAGCAAACACCTTGGCTATTAAGGGAAACTATTCTCTGCAATAGACATTTTTTTTCCAGAAACTAGAAGTAAATGCCAGTCTCTAGCAAAAACATTCTACATCACAGTCACATAATTATATGAGACTGCAAACAGTGTTAAATGTGGGCCGTTTGCTGAGTGCCTAAAATGAAATCACACAATTGCAGGGAAGGGTGCAGCCATCGGAATATTGAATCTGGGTTATGAGTACGTCTTGGAAGGAGTCTATCAAAAATTTGAACGGTCCGGTTGTAAGTTGAGGATTATTATATTGAGTAAAATGTAATGGTATCCATCTGCCTATTGACAGAATAATTCATCAATTATTTCACCAGAATCAAACATATTACTGTAGAGGGGATTCTGGGAGTACAGGAAGAGAGGGGAATGTGCAGGCTTAGAAGACATAAGAGTCAACACAGAATTTATATGTATTTATTAATAATTATAGATCATGAAGGGTATTGCAGAGTTTTGCCTCAGCTTGCTTTGAGTCAATTTCATTTCCTTGGAAAATTACTAACTACTAACTGGTATTACTCTCGCTAAAGTAATTTTATGATTCTCTTTCTATAATCTACCCTTCCTAATAATCAAAACCATAAAATATAAGTTGATGTTTTTGTCTCCAAAAATTTCGTAAGAGGTTTCTAGTCACCAATAAATGTAGATACTGTCTTTTCTCTAACCAAACAAGTCAATATTGCCACACATTCTGTTTCCAAGATTAAATAAGTATTACTGGAACACTTTAAAATTATAATTGAATGATTACAGGATTTCATAATATAAATATGTAACAATTCAAGTTTTGCAGGGAAGAGTATTGTTTCATAAAGCTTCAGAACAAAAGCATTCATAGTGTTAACACGATTTGGGTGAAACTGTATAAACTAGCATGAAGCATAACATAATTCATGCACATTTTAATGAAATCTTGTCTCCAGAAATACAACATTATAACATGTTTATAAAATATTAGGAGCATAAATGCACAGGATTTCAATTACAGAGTTTTGCTTCCAGTTCAAACAAACACTGGAATGTACCTCTATGTGTTACTTGATTATATCTCTTTCTTATTTATGACCTTTTGGAAAGGCTGATCCAGTGAAAGTTGTTCATTTCAGAATAGGTTTCTGTGCTGATCTGCTTGTCAATTGTGCAAAAGTATCTCCTAAATACAGAAATAAAAGAAAAGAGAGACATGGCCCAAACTGTGAATGAACTGCACTTTCATTCAGCCCACAAAACCTTGTTTACTCAAAGTAGTTCTCTTCCTCATATTTTCCCTAAAACCATGGACCATCTCTTTGCTTTGTGCAAACCTAATGATAGGGAGCTTTTTGATCTGATCCCAATTGGATAATGATTTGTTCCTTCTGACTTACACTTAGCAGTAATAGTATTTCTTACTAATATATAATCTTGTTTTGCTGAAACTATGCAGCCATTTCCAGACTTATTCCCCCCCCCCAAAAAAAAACTGCTTAAGAAATCTCACTAGGGGAAGAGGGAGGGATTGAAGGCTATACAACTTGGCCAGCAAAAGCAATCCACTGCAAATGGACTTGTGATGGCTCATTTCTGCTACTTTGTTCCACCCTGGCAGATCAGGAAAGGGACTTCCCTGTGTAAATATATGGAATTGACCAATACAGCTTTGCTAATTGTGTTCAATCTAGTTTTTATTATCCATTCCTTATTTGGAATCCAAACTGTAGCAGCCTTAGAATGCAACATGAACTCCCATAACTTCATGGGGTTGTCATGTGATCATGATGAAGTGCAGCTTTCAAACTGTGCCATAGTTTTCTGCATAGGAGTAAGTAGCAAGTGGGTAAAATGAGTCATTCTAGATTGAGTGGAATAAATTAATGAGCAGAATAATAATAAATGGAATAATATATGGCTGAGATATCTGCATTGAGAATCTAAAGACTGTGCCTATCATGTCTTATAATCTGGTGTCTTGATTTTCCTTATTTGCAGCATGAAAAAAAAAAGAGAATGATAGAGTGGATCGAGTTCAAATAAAGCTTTCTTGCAAATATTTAAGATTCACTTTAAAAGCTATAATTAAAATAAAATTGAGCTTACCAAAGTTCCTATATCCTTTCAGAAGGATACTGAGAAGTATAATGAGAATTTTCTCCTCAGATGCCATTCTAAAGATAATCTTTTATGCAATTGATGACAATCAAATCTAAAATGTTTTGCATCTCTCTGCTATGTGTTCATTTTCTTTGTCAAACTAACAGGTTTTTCATTCTTTTTTAGTGCATATCTTCTGAAGATATTTTTTCTCTGTATGGAATATCAAACAATACCAGGATAATGGAATCCACCTTCTCTACAATATGCCCTGCTGTCTTACAACAAGTGATTTTTCATCCCTGTGAAATATCTACCAAAGGTAGTTTCAAGCCATCTCCCACAGAAGGTAATTCTCCATTTAGAATCTAGTTTAGTTAACAGATTATTTTTCTTTCTAGTTATGTACTTCTGTCAATGTTTCTACACCTATATTGGCATAATGTTGGCTACCAGCCTTCACTACTAACTGGTATTGCATGATAATTTTAAATATATACTCAGATAACTATCATAATTAAATATAATATTGTGTTTATAACAAAATATTGCTGCATCTCATTGTCAAATATCATTGGCTTGTGATTCTAATACACTTAAGAGTAAGCCTTGTATCTTCTTAGCAGATATTATTAGAAAGGCATTGTTGCAAAAGATTTTAAACTTAAACACTAATTGCATAAAACCTGGTATAGTGCAGGAATTTTGCTTGAATTTAGAAGGACCTTAATGGTCTTATTAGGAAACTAGAATATTGATAACTGGAAATAGTGCCTACCACATGTAGTGATATCAATAGATTATATCTCTTTCAAGGAAGACTGGTGAGCAAGGACTTTTTCAGATAAACCAAATCATAGAGGACAAAAAAATGAGGGCTTTACGTTAAGACAAATAGAGAAATTTTATCAAAAGAATCTCAGAAGGAAAGGCAATTTACAAAAATGGACTTTAAACTTGACTGTAAGAAACAATAGCTTGAATATGACATTTGAAAATACCAAAGCACTCCATGGGTATTTTTTGAAAGGTATTGAAGGAAAATTGGACAGCACTATTCAGACTGTTACATTAAAAAAGGAAACAGAAGCAATGTTGTTGTTTTTTTAGTCTTAAGAAGAAAGCTATGCACCAAAGTTATTAAGGCAAAATGAGAAAAGACAAGTAGTAAATTCCATTTGAGCCAAGATAAGGATAAGACAGTTGAGTATATAGTAACTGGATGTAGCAAAATAACCAAGACTGATTACAAAAATGGTTATGATTGAATTGAGAAGATATTACACTAGCATGTATGTTTATGCTAGGATGCTATGGATTCACAATCAATATGCATCACTGGAATCATCAAATCACAGATAAAAATCACCGAACGTGACAAAGTAAAAATGTTATGGCATTTTAAATTCATACCAAATTATGCCTAAAATATAACACACCAGACACCATTGTTATTGAAAAGAACAATGATTTATTAACATAGCCATTCTAGGAGATAATAATGTTGAAGACAAGGAAGTGGAAAAGATTTCAAAGATTTGTAAATAGAGATTGCAGAAGTTTGGAAGATATCAGTTGTGGTACAATTGTTATTGAGACAGTGGGTGCAATATCCCTGGTCAACATCAGCTCTGACATATTTTTGGAACTGGAATATAGTAATGCAGGATAAAGAAGGTTGCCATTTTGCCCTTTGCCAAAGAAATCAGAATATCCGGAAGTAGCTGTTAGATAAACACAAATTCATCTCAGTACAAACTATGTAACAAAGTCTTGTCTAGTTTGACCTTCAACATCTAGGATTTTAATCAAAGTAGCTTCTGGTTAAGGCAAAAGACAAGGAAAATATAAGGGTGTAGAGTATGGTTTATGAGGGAAAAAGAGTTGAAATCAGAAATACTTGAAATTTACCATATTTATAAATATTGTAAATAAGCCAGAATGCAACAAAGGGGTTGTTAGAAACTACATATTCATCTTTAATGCTTTTAGTGGTACTGGTACTTCTTTTTCTTTTTTTTTAAATAGTGTCTTTAAATAACAAAACAATGGAGGGTTTGACACTCAGAAATTAAAAAAAATCTCCAAAATCCTTTCCTTTATTGTTAAAAACAACGTATTTTGTTTTTATGGTTAATTCTTCAACAATGATATATTGAGCACTAAATGTACAATTTCTGTAATTTTTCTGCCAAACTTACTAATATTA